CGGTTAAGCATCTGACTTGTGATTTTGGCTCAGGTCATGATTTCATGGGTCGTGAGATCGAGCTCCAGTCAGGCTCCACACTCAGCAAGGAGTCTTCTTGAGATTCTCTCCCTCTGCCCCTCCCCCCACTCACGCTCTCTCCCTCTTCTCTCTCTAAAATAAGTTAATTTTAAAAATAAAATTTCATATATGTACATACACACAAACACACACACACACTTGATAGGAATGGCTGGCTGGCTCAGTTGGTAGAACATGCGACTCTTGATCGCAGGGTCATGAGTTCAAGCCCCACACTGGGGCTAGAGCTTACCTTAAAAAAAAAAAAGTGTACACACACAGACACACACACACACACACTTGATAACCCATGGGTCAAATAACAAATCACTTTGAAAATCTGAAAATATTTTGAGCTGAATGAAAATGAAAAGTAGAACATATTAAAGTTTGAGGACAAGTAACAAGCAGGCAGGCCTGGGAATGGAGCCTGAACCTTGTGGCCATGTCAGCAGATGCTCACTGGTTGACAGCTTCTGCTGTCTTCTGAGAGAAATTAAATTATACTTGACCTTAAAGTAACAGGATGGTCGGAATTAAGTAAAAGAGATGCCATCTACAAAGAGTACTTCAAAAATTGTAATCAGGCATTTGACTTCATGTCCTGAGTCAACCTACAAGCAGAGAAGATGAATCATCACCCAGAATGGTTTAGTGTGTACAACAAGGTCCAGATCACCTTGCATAACTGTGGTGGACTGACCAAGAGCAATGTGAAAGTGGTCAAATTTATTGACAAAGCAGCTGCTTCTGTGTGATGTCTTCCAAAACGCATATAAAATCTTATATACAGCTTAGTTGCAATGTATTTTGAAGGCAATTTCCATGAACAAATATAGTCACCTTTATACCACATTTTGTGGTATAAAATCAGTGCTTAAATACAAATTGATTTAAACTTGGAAAAAAAAATGACAAAAATTGGGGGATGTATCTAAAGCTGTGCTTAGAGGAAAATTTATAGCTTTAAATGAATATACTGGAAAAGAAGAAAGGCAGAAAATCAGCATCCATCTCAGAAAATTGACAAAAGGATAGATAGTACTTTAAACCCAAAGAAAATAGAAGAAAGGAAATAAAAGATTAAGAATATTAGTTATAAAATAGGAAAAAATACAGAAGTAGTAATACCAAAATGTGCTCTTTTAAAAGACTCATAAAATTGATAAATCCCTGGTAAGACTTACCAAATAAACAAGATAAGACAAAAGTAACCAAAGGTAGTACTGAAAAATGGAGACATCAGACCCTATAGACATTAATAGAATAATGAGAATGAATTTTTTTTTTTAAGATTTTATTTATTTATTTGAGAGAGAGAGAACACATGAGAAGGGGATAGGGTCAGAGGACGAAGCAGACTCCCTGCCGAGCAGGGAGCCCGATGCGGGACTGGATCCAGGGACTCCAGGATCATGACCTGAACCTAAGGCAGTCGCTTAACCAACTGAGCCACCTAGGCGCCCGAGAATGAATTTTAAAACTTAGGTGAAATGGACAGATTTCCTGAGAAATGTAACTTATTCAAACTGACACAATATAGAAAATCTTAATAATTACATTCCTACCAAGAAATAGGTCTGTAATTTAAAATCTTTCTATGAAGAAAAGAAGATGCCAGGTGAAGATAACTTCACCAACAGATTTACCAAATATTTAAGAAAGAAACAACATGGGCACCTGGGTGGCTCAGTTGGTTAAACATCTGCCTTTGGCTCAGGTCATAATCCCAGGGTCCTGGGATCGAGTCCCACATCGGGCTCTCTGCTCTGCAGGGAGCCTGCTTCTCTCTCTCCCTCTGCCTGCCACTCTGCCTACTTGTGCTCTCTCTCTCTCTCTGTGTGTCAAATAAATAAATAATAATAATAACAAACTATTTAAAAATTTAAAAAAAGAAACAACACTAATCTTACACAAATCCTCCTGAGAATGAAAAAGAAAAAATGCTCTCCAGCTCATTTAGTGAGGCTAGTATAACTATGATACTAAAATGTGAAAGGACATTAATATAGATAGAATAATCCTAAACAAAACATCAACAAATTGAAACTAGCAATATACATAAAAGAATTATGTCTCCCAACCAAGTAGATTTATTCCAGAAATTTTGGAAGATTTGGCATTCAAAATTCAATCAGTATATAGCAATGTAAGATCTTTTTTCTTTTTTTTTTTTTTTAAGATTTTATTTATTTATTTGACAGAGAGAGAGCACAAGTAGGGGAAGCAGCAGGCAGAGGGAGAAGCAGACTTCCTGCGGAGCAGGGAGCTGAACGCGGGGCTCAATCCCAGGACCCTGGGATCATAACATGAGCCAAAGGCAGCCGCTTAACGACTGAGCCACCCAGGCGCCCCTGAGATCTTAATAATAGTGGGAACTGGGTGAGGGGTGAATGCGAACTCCATAGTGACTTCACAACTTTGCTGAACATCTAAAACTATTATAAAATAAAATTTTATTTAAAACAGTATAATTCACTGCATTAAAAAGAAGAAAAATCACATCTTAGTAAATGTAGAAGCAACATTAGGTAAAATTCATCCTTCTTTTGCAATAGATCCCTTAAATTCTGCTCAGAAAGAAATTCTTTAACAAACATAGCTATAAAATCCTTTTGGAAACATCATATGGCAAAATGTTGAAAGCTCTCCTTAGTGATTGGGAATAGACAAGGATACCAGTTATCAACACCTCTATACAATATCGTATTAGAAGTTGCACCCAATGGGCGCCTGGGTGGCTCAGTTGGTTAAGCAACTGCCTTCAGCTCAGGTCATGATCCTGGAGTCACAGGATCGAGTCCCGCATCGGGCTCCCTGCTCGGCAGGGAGTCTGCTTCTCCCTCTGACCCTCCTCCCTCTCATGCTCTCTGTCTCTCATTCTCTCTCTCTCAAATAAATAAATAAAATCTTTAAAAAAAAAAAAAGAAGTTGCACCCAATACAATAAGGCAGGGAAAAAGCAACATATGGTGTAAAGATTGGAAAGAGAGAAACACAACTATCATTATTATAAGTGATATGATTGTGTGCAGAGAAAATTTAAAAGAATCTATAGATTGTTAAAATCAACAAGTACATGTAGCTGAGCTGCTGCATACAAAGTCAATAAGCAAAAATCATTTGTATTTCTATTACCAGCAACAAAATGAAATCTTAAGAAAGATGCCATTTACAATATCATCCCTAACAATAAATCTAACAAGTGGTGTGTGGTACCTCTAAGCAACAAACTATAAAGCATTATTAGAGAAATTAAAGGAGATCTAAATAAATGGAAAGAAATAAAATGTTCATTGATTTTTTTAAAACTCAATATTGTAAAGATCTCAATCATTCCCAGATTGATCTATGGATTCAGTACAAAGTCAAGTATTAACAGCCCATTCGATTCTAAAATTCATATGGAAATGCTGAGGATAGATTCTAAAATTTGTATGAAAATGCTACGGAAAGGTTACAAAATTAATATGGAAATAGCTTAAGTGTTGAGGAGAAACAGAGTGGGAAGACTTGTTCTTTATATCAAGATTTACTATAAAGCTAGAGTAATTAGAATTAGTAGAGCAAGAACAGATGAGCACTGAAACAGAACAGAGAATCCCGAAACATCGCCAACATATGTGGACACTTGATTTACATCAGAGGTGGTGCTGCCAGGAGTAGTAGGAAAATGATGGTATTTTTAATAAGTGATTTGGGGATATCTGAGAAAAAATTAAACCTGACCCGTATCATATTTCAAACCCCAAAATAATTTCCAGATGGATTAATATATTCAAATATGAAAGGTAAAACAGTAAAAGCTTCTAGAATTTATAACATAGAATATTTTCATGACCTTGGGGTAGA